TCTAGGTTGTATGACGCCCATAGCCCTGGTCACATTCTGCTAGCTGTGTGCCTTCCCCATGGGTCCCTATCTGGAATGTGGCTTCCTGCCAAAAACAAAGGAGACGTCTTTCACTTAGATGCCCCCGACAGTCTGCACCTTGCCTACACAGAGCCCCTTGTGTGCAGGCGAGTGCAGGATGACAGTGTGACTAAGATGACCACCCAAAGCATCATAAGCTGGACACCTTGCGATAAGACAACAGGTGTAAACTGGTGATTGTCCCAGACAAACAAAGCGACAGTGACCTGGGCCAAGCTTACTGTTGTTCACTATCCCATGTGCTTTCTTTAATCTTCACTGTGACCCTATGTGAGAGTAATAGCCATGCACACCATTGGCCACAGTGGCCGTCACAGGTTGTGAAGGGACCTAGAAGATGACACTGTGTAGGAAGGGGCTGAGAAAGCTGGCACCTCACTTGAGGACGTCTGAATCCAGAGCTCAGGTTTCAGATCCTCCCTCTCTGTTGTTCCCTGATGGAAGAATTCAGGGCCTGGAGTAGGATGGGGTAAGGTGCTGTCCCCAGCTCAACTCAGAATAACTTTAGTTACCTCTCGTCTTGGGCATCTTTGCCCGCAGAGCAATAACTGTTTCAGTTTCCAAGAACCTGGGGAGATTAAATGAGCTAAGGTATCAGAAGACTGGGTATGCAAGGGCTGGGGAGCTAGTGCAGTGGCATAAGTGCCTGCCTGGCAAGTGCTTTCGGTCTTCTAAAATCCTCCTTTTAGGCTTGGGACATGTGCAGGTTGGCTCTTGGCTCCGTAAGACATCATCTACTCACTGGCTGTGGCACAATGGAAAAAGTGAAACATGCTGTAACAACAAGGGCTGGAGAGATAGCTCAGCAGACTAAGCACCTGCTTAGGCAAGCACAGTGGCTGGGGTTCAATCCCTGGTAACACATGCCCTGCTAGCCCCGCCCCTGGGACTCCCTGAATCTGGGCATATTGCTGTGTACCTGTGTATCTGTAATCCCTGGGCTGGGGAGGCTGAAAACAAGAGGATCATTATGAGTCTGAGCTGTGTAATGAGATCTGGCACATAATTTAAAAAAAAAAAAAGTGCTGTAACAGAGGTCAGGGGTGAGCTCACAGGAAGCCTTTGACCTAACAGCAGAAGCCGTGCTATTTTATACAAGATGAGCGTTCAGGCTGAAGCCCTGGGATTGAAGTAGCTGTTTCTCCAAAGATGACAGGCAAATGGACAATGAACACATGAAAAAGGGCTGAGCATCCTACTCTCAGGAAAATGCCAGTCAAAAACACAGTGAACTATCCCTTATTACTTAGAGGACAGCTAATGTAAAAAGGCAGGCAGTCACAGTATGGCTGGAAGAGCCTCTAGGAGAGGAACTGCAGCCCCTTGCAGTTTGCTATGGGGTAAACATAGGAGCACCATGTGACCCAGCAGTCCCTCCCCTAAGTGTAATACTCAGCGATCGGAATGCATATTTCCTCACCAAAACTTGTATGTAGTTGTCGGTAGATGGATAAAGCATTTGTTCATAATAGTTTAAAAAAAAATGGAAACAACCTGAGTGTCCATCAACTGAGGTGATGTCTCCACACAGTGGAATCATGTTCAGCAGAAAGAAAAGACATAAATTACCAGTCCATACTGTCAAGTAAAAGACAGCCAACGCAGAAGTCTACACTGCAGGACTCCTGGGATGCAGCGTGTCTGGAGTAGACAGATTGCTAGAGGAGCAAAGAGAGTCCTGTCTGCCGTGCACAGGAGGGACCAAGGGTGAGCGAGGAGAGGCGGCAGTGTTTTTGGAGTTACAAAACTATTCTGAAATTCCTGTAGATAATAATGGCGGTGGGAACGTTCTAAACCCTGTGAAGTGTGTGCTTTAGAGGGGGAAATGTTGCAGTATGTGCATCACATCTCATTGAAGTGGTTCTAGGAAGTCTGGGTGCTGCTGTTTGCTTTTGGGATCAGTGTTGTCTCGTGGGAAGCCGTGCCGCTTACCGAGCCTCGGGAACCCATGGGGCAGGAGTTGCACCCTGTGCCATTCTCCACACAGGGGCTGATATTGCAGATATGATGAGCAGCAGCCGGGCTGACGGTTGTCCTTAACCCGTGGGCATCTCTGTGTCCCTCCTGAAGCGTTGGGTCAGTGGCGCTTTCCCTGTGGACTAGGATTCATAACATGTCAGGGCACATGAAGACTGACCCTGTGGCCACACCCTCACTCATGCACACTTCTGATAAAATTACAGCCATGAGGCTCTGATATCTGTTATTTATTTCTAACTAATATAAGTGGGACCTTACTCAAGATGTGCTTGTGAAAAATTACCCTTTTAATGTTGGAACGTTTAATGAGAAACTGGATTATCTACTGCATAAGTGCCCCTCATAAAAATTAGCTTGGCCCTGGGTCCTAATCTAAATTTGGCATGCTACTTTTCTATAAATGGCCTAATATTTTCTTATTAATCTCTGCCCTTGTTCACCTGACCTGGCTCTGCCTCCTCTTAGATGCTCCTCCTTGGCGGTGCTCTGCCCATCAAGGACTGTCTGAGTGCGTGACTAGAAGACCTGATTCTGGACATTACTGACCAGTGGGCACTGCGCAGTTCCTCGTTCAGGATTCCTCAGCATCTCCAGTGCACCTGTCATGCTGCCAGTGTGCTGTACTGAACATCGGCAGAATTGGGTCAGGTGGATTTGATGCCCGGTGAAGTTGGGCTTTCAAGAGAAGCTGGACAGAGGAGAAGCAATTCATTGGAGTGACTAAGGAGACAACCTAGGAAACGCAAGGTGCAGGCAAATGCCAGGCTTTGGCCCCAGACACACCTGGGTCAGGTTCTACTCATCTTGAGCTTGGACAAGTGACACGCCTCGCAGGTCCTCAGTTTCACTGTGAAAGCTGTCTCATGGTACCTTCCTCTAGGGTTTTCTCCTATGGCTGAACAGCTTGGTGCATGCCATGTGCTTGCAATGGAGGCTGTGCAGAGATGGGATTACAGCTGGGTTTCAGGGAGTCCCGGTAGTGCAAGGGGGCTATAGTGGCTGAAGCAGTGTTGCACACTTCAGAGACAGAGACAGTGTTTGAGACAGGACAAGATGACTTCAGCCCCACGGGTAGGTGGCAGAAGGAAGGAGCCATGCACCAGGGGTCCTGCTGCTCAGCCAGACACCTGCAGCAAGTAAGTCATGGCAGATGTTCTCAGCACTCCCCCTGACATCTGCCCTCACGATTCTGCACTTTTGTTATAGCCCTCATTACATCTCAGTATCTGCTTGCTGTAGGAAGCACTTTCAAAGGCTCCAATGTGCTAGGCCTGAGAGGGTTCAGTGGGTAAAAGCGATACCCGAGAGCTGGGGCCACATCTCCAGGCCTGGCCCTGCAGACAGCCCTCTATGCCTGCCTTTCTACAGCCATGTAGATTCCTTTTCCTAGACTGATCACAGGTTTCAGCTCCCAGCTGCAGGAAGCTCACCAGCTGGAGAATGCCCCGTGCACATGCGATCTGCTGAAGTTATTAATTGTATGGTACTAGCACAGAAAGGCAGTTACTGGGGCCTCATTCAGAAGAAGAGGAACTAAGGCCGGGCAGGCTAGGTGACTTACAGGGTGACTTACAAGGGAAACCTTACACATGCAAAATAATGCACTCTACATTTTATTTGCAGCCACCAAAACTTGGGCTTCTAGGGACACAGATTTTGGTTCCTTCATATATTGCCAGTGAGTGATAGCATTTGGAAAGAAGAGACACTCACTAAAGGATGAAGGAATAAATGAATGAAGTGAAAGTCATAATTTGTCATTTAAAAAAAGCACTATGTTATGGCTGTTGTTTCTTACTGATGCTTGCTTTGGGGGCTCTTTGGTGTGATTGAAGCATGTGCTCAGATGATTCTCAGCCCCACGTTCTCCGAATGCCTTGCTTTGCGCATAAGATAGTGTAGGTGGAGGGAAGCAGGTCCCTTGGCCGTGATGATCTGTACACTTCTCCCCCCCCCAAGGCAAACAGAATAAAGGAAGAGGCAAGATAGGAGGGAATGATATTTCAGGAGCCAACGTCAGCTCTTGGGCTCCAGGTTTTAGGCACCACGTACGCAGTCCTCAAGCCTCTGACTAGGCAGTAGATTGAGGTTAGGGAGGACACTGAGTTCCTGTGTATCCATCCTGTCTCTGATCTGAATTTGGAAAGGCTGACTGAATTCTATAACCACCGTCGTCTTTGGGAAATGGAAACGGTGTGGGTTTTCTGAAATGCGCGTTTACGGCTCACCAAACATCTGGCATGAAGGACTCGCCAAGGTGAGAGTGATGTTATGATCCTTACTTCCTGTGTGTCCGTGTGAACACTGGGCTGATGTCTCTTAGCCAAATATTCTGGTAATAATTACTGAGAATGCCTGTTGCAAGATGTGGACAACACAACACCAAATAGCATAGAAGCCTGTTTCTCTACACATATGCCTTAGCAGGAGAGATATAAAACCATTTTTTCAGTCATTGTGGTGGGTCATTACATGAAACAAAGCATGATGCTTCGGAACAAAGCCGCCCATGGGGTTGGGTGTAAGGAGAGTCTTAGGCACTGGTCAATGCTAGAAATACTGGAAGCTAGTGTTTCTCATGATCAAGCAAGACTTTTGAACATGAATTCTTATAGGTGGTTATCATTGGTTGAGTACCTACTGTGGATCAAATACAACATGAAATGCTCTAACATTCTCTCATTGATGTATTAATTCCCAACCTTTAATTCTTAACCTTTTCTTCCTAGGGACTGAGACTCATGGAGACATACTTTACCTCAGTATTTAGCTCAGCAGGGCCACACTCTCCAGCTAGAATAGCGCTGCCTGTTCTCCCAGGCCCAGGGACCTGACTGGATGGGACCCAGTGAAGCCAGAGTGACCCACAGAGCCGTGGGCTCTGTCAGGCGACGGGCCCAAGAAACCCTGTATCTGAATCTCTTTCTTTGTCTTTCCAGGTCAGGATCGCAGCGAAGCCACTTTAATAAAAAGGTTCAAAGGTGAAGGGGTCCGGTACAAAGCCAAGCTGATCGGGATTGAAGAAGTTTCTGCGGCTCGGGGAGACAAGTTATGTCAAGATTCCATGATGAAACTCAAGGTGCCGTGCGCTCCTTTTATTATAAATATTTCTGGTTTGGTGTCATGAAGGGAAGAGATAATCTCCCTTACTGTGGAAATAACCTTATTTATTTATTGGCAAATCGCTCGACTCATGGTCGAGTCACCTATGTACTACTTGGGAAAAGAGCCAGTGATTGGCAAGTGTTAATTGAGCAGCTACTGTATGGATTATGAATTTTTATCATTATTGTTTTTGAATAAATTTTGTGTATTTTGTTATATAGTAAAAATGTTAACGGATAAGCTGATTTTATTCATTTTTATGATTTGTATGAGTACATGCTAAACCCTTAAAAAGTAAAGGAGAATATACTTTAAGGTAATATATTACTAGATATTGGAATTTTGAGATATCGCAAAGGTATTTATGATGTCTGTGAATGTTTTATTTATTTATTTATTTGTACCAAGAGTCAAACTCAGGACCTGGTGCTCTCCAAGCGAGCACATAAACTGCTGGCTGAGCTGTCTCCCTGGTTCTTGTAAATGCTTTATTTTACTTTGTTTTATTTTATTTTTGTATTTAGTACAGAGTCTGCAGGGTCTCACTACATAGGCCCGAGTAGTGATTCTCTTGTTTCTAGTCTCCCAAGCACTGGGATTACAGGCGCACACCACCACACCCACTCTCAATCACCATCTCAGTGCACCCCAGGGGCGGGGCTGGAAAGGCACACTAGGGACTGAACCCTTGCCGCTGCGCTGTGCCTCAGCAGGAACTTTAGTCCACTGAGCTATCTGGTCTCCTTCTAAATGCTTTAAAGAACCCCTTTCACTGAAAATGTTGAGAAAAATATTGGAAAAATTTGAAATATATAATTTTTTTAAATTTAAATGCTATAAAATATCCAAAGGACACTGTTTGACCCTATATTTTTATCTGCATATATTTTAAATAATTTTGAAATATTGGAAAAGGAAATGACTTATTAAGAAGACTGAAAGTATTTTACATCTTTAAATCATGTGTGACGTGTTTTGCTGATTATAGAGTTCGCTTGTATATATTACAGATTATGTTGAAAATATAGAGAAGTATATGAAGGAAAACTAAAATAATCTAAACCTTCACAAAGAAAATCAATGTCAACATTTAGTATATAATCTACACCTATATAAGGGAGCATCAAAATGCATAGTGATGTTTCATGAACTGTGTGCCTATCCCACGTCCTTAAGATTCCCACCGATTTTCTCTTCCAGTAGAATAAATGTTTCTGTTTTAATATTTAAATCTTTGATCCATTTTTACTTTAGAGCATAGTGATAGGCATGAGTCTAATTTTAGCCTTTGGCATGTAGAAAGCCAGTTTATCCAGCACCATTTGGTAAAGAGACTACCTTTCTTCCAGTGAATGTGTTCAGCCCCTTTGCCAAAGAGAAGGTGGCTGAGTATGTTTGGAGTTGTGTCAGCATCTTCTAATCTCGAGAAGAAAAATAAATACATAATGAGTATGGTGAATATTTAAATAAAACAGTTTATTATTAGCAAAAGACAAAAAGTATTCTCACAGCCTTCCAACACACTTCTCCCCTCATTCCTACCACTTTCCCAAGCCGTTTTGGAAGTCCTCTTCCTGTGTGCTTTACCGTTGCTAGGTGTTTTCAAAAACATGGAGAACCCTGCTGCCAAATGCCCACGAATGGAGAGGTGTCTTGTCAACCCATTATGGTGTGTACGAGCCCCATGTTCACTGGGTCTGGCAACTCCTGGATCTCCCCGAAAGTCAAAATGACCATGAAGCAAGGACCGGGGTTCAATACTCAGTGCCTCATGCCACACTGTCCCTGCTCCCACCTCCCTCCCTCCCTCTCGAAGTTGGGAGAGAACATTTTGAGTGGATTTATAATTCAAACATTCACTCTGCTTTTACATCTTATCTCATGTGTAATAACATTGAAATTGTCATTTAGTTTGTGATAATCATGGGTTTGTCTTTCTTTCCTAATCTAATAATTATGTCAACGTTTTTTCAAATCTTTAAATAGCCCAGAAGGACACAATTCAGTGAAATATTTTGAGTATAATAAAAAGAAAACACCACCACTCCTGGCCTAGTGCCTGGTAGTAGTAAATGAGATAAAATGTATAAAACACTTTCGGTACTACCTTTTCTTTCCATAAAACAGTCTGTATCACCTTTGCTTTCTTTGATGCTTAATAAATCACAACTATTAGGTGTGTTTGTGCTGGGTTTTTAGCAGTGTAACAATGTATGAAAAATGAAAGTTGTCCTGTCGTAAGACTCAAAAAATTAGGATTTTAAAAAGTCTTCATTCATTTTTTAATATTCTAAATAGATCACCTCCTCTTTGTATTTTAAGATATTATAAAAACTAATTTCACAGTAATAGTTATGCAGCTGCTAGACAGCGTCCTGAAGAAAGGTATGAATATAAAAATTGTGAGTGTGCAGAGCAACACATCAAAAGGAACTAATATACATTTTTAAAACAATTAAGCAGCATTCTTAGTTTATTTTTTGTTTATTTTTATTTTTTATTTTTTCCATAATTTTATTGAGAAATAAATAGCAATGAGACAGTTTCAAATCCAATTGGTAGAACAGTTCCAATAATTAACACATTGCATACTGCCTTCCTAGTGGTTATTTGTTGTACAAGATGCAGACATGATATCCTGTTTACAAACACTATTAGAACAAATCCCTCTATTCCTTCGATGAAGAGAATGTAGCTATATATCTATCCTAACCATTTTGAATACACAGATACAAGATGGTCATTCATCTATATCCCCTTTTTTTTCTTTAGTTCCATCATTGAAATAATACAGGTCTGTGAACTCCACAGAATATTCCAGAATTGTCCAGTAGTCCATAATAGTATTGGATCTTCCACTTGACTGGCAATGTCAGAAGTTGTTGACCTGAGTCCCCTACAGCTCAATGTAACAACATGGATTTACTTCTTGTACTTCATTTTTATACTTTTCTGGTGGATGGTTAAGAGCAAGATAAAGCAAGACCTATGCAACAAGAATTGTAGCTTTTGGATTTGATAAGGTCAGTCAAATCCCTTCAGGATTTATCCTGAGACTCTATACGTCAGATTTTAGATCCTTTGTCAGTGTCAGCCATGTGGATGAGTCATGGCCATTGCTTGGCCAATTTGCTGTCTGTGAAAGCCTGAGAGAATGTTTTCTCTCCATGTGACTCTCCTTAGCACATTCTACATCATCGATCACTTTCCTCTTTGGCCCCATAATCTCCTTGATCAGAAAATTTGGGACATAACTGAGTTACATGATGTTACAGTACAAGTTCTCATATGTCCTGAGTCTTAATTGGTCTTGGAAGGCTAGGGCCAAAATGTTGGCTTTCCTTGCGGCCCTCCTTTTTCTCTAAATTTTGGTCTGCAAACTTAGGTTGTTAGCCCTCCAGAAGAGAAGCTTATTGTTATTACCATACAACCTAGGCTGTTGAGCTTAACCTCATTATCTGTCTGAATATCAAACATCTTAGGCATAACATGGAACAGGTAATTTTTACCAAGTATTGACATGTTAAACTTTAAGTCCCTACAGAATATGACAAAAAAAATTTTTAAATAAAATATATTTTAAAAATAGGAATAAAGAAATATATATGTTTACAAATAAGTCCAGAAATCTAACGATATACAACATTGTTGCAGGATAGTCCCGCAACACTCCTTTTCCTGTCTCCTGACTTCATTCAACACCCTCTTCCTTTTTAAACAGTTATCTACACGAGAGACAGCATGGCAGTGACTGGTGTATCATGACAAGCAGCACATATTCAGAACAGCAGAATGACAGGCACTCCAAGCATGAACCTACTATTACAAATTGCCAACTTCAGGGCAGTTGCTTAGTTCACAGGTGTCAGTACATAGATAGTCAGTGTGAAAATCCTTCCAATTAACTGCTAGATTTGAAAATCTTCTGAATAATCTCAGGATCATTGCCTTACCCATCTTGTATATATAACTGTGTGGCTTGCCACTGTCATGTTTCTTAGCTCTTCTCCTTGCTCTCTCTTCATTGTCTCGTCCTCAAGTTCTTGCTTTCCTTTTAATTGTGTTATACCTTTCCATTTGCATTTCTTCTTTTGAGTTCTTATACTAGGGAAACTATATGATACCTACACATGTGTCTGGTTTATTTCACTTATGAGTATATCTTCAAGTGGCATCCACTTCAATATAAAGGCTTCAAGTTTATCATTCTTTATAGCTGAGTAATACTCCATTGTATAAAAAAATAGTACATCCTTTTCATCCATTCCTCAGGTAACGGGCATCTTGGTTGTTTCCAAGATTTGGCTATCACAAATTGTGCTGCTATAAACATAGGCACACATATATCACTATGATAAAATGTTTTCAGATCCTCTGGAAAAATTCCCAGTAGAGGAATAGCTGGTTTAAATGGGATTTCCAATCCTACTTTTCTAAAGAGTCTCCACACTGATTTCCATAATGCTTGCACCAGTCTACATTCCCACCAGCAGTGGAGAAGGGTTCCTTTTTCCCCATAGCCTCTCCAAAATTTGTTGTTGGTTGATTTCTTTATGATAGCCATTCTTTCTGGGGTGAGATGATATCCCAATGTTGTTTTAATTTGCATTTCAAGGATGGTTAGTGATGCGGAGCACTTTTTCATATATTTATTCCCTTCTTTAATTTCATCCTCTGAGAAGACCCATTTCTGGACTGGGTCTTTACATTTTGGGACCTTAGTGTTTTTTAGCTCTTTATAAATTCTAGAGAGCAGACCTTTGTCTGAATACTTATTTGTCAAGATTTTTTCCAAATTTGTGGGTTGTCTTTTCCCTTTGTTGGTAATTTCTTTGACATACAAAAACTTTGCAATAAGAGGAGGTCCCAGTTGTTAATTCTTTCAACTGTTTCCCATGCGATTTGATTTTTGTTCATGAACTCTTTGCCTACCCCCATATCTTCAAGAGTTCCTCCTACTTTCTCTTCCAGGAG